CCCGGAGATCCTGGTTAAACCAGGGCGCCGGGCGATCTCTGCGGCGGAGAGGGCGTTTAGGCGCGATCGTGTCTACGGCACTAGCCGCGGCGGTGAACCAGCCGTCGACCAGAGCCTCGACAGGAGCGTCAGCCAGGTCAGCCGTAATCCCTCTCATGGCATCCTGGAATCCGACCATGACAAGGGAGCTGACTCAAGGTCAGTCACCATCGGATCACTCTCACTCCCGTTGGTTGAAAAGACCAGGTCTAGTATATGGCCGCCCAAGTGTGTAGGGCCATTAACATGCTGGGACATGTCAATTAGATGTTTTTCTGGAACTCTCTGGCTTTCTCCATAATCCAGCGTGTGTTTATTTTATTTATTTATTATTAGATTTTTATCCTGCAACTTCTAGAAAAAGTCTACTAAGGGCGGCTTACATAAAATCATTCATGAGACAATATACATATACTGTACAGTTAAAACAACAATTTAAATTAACAAGGTTAACATTGTTCAAGATGGGAAGAAATAAAGAAAACTAAATAAAAAGAAAAATCAAGTATTGTTAGGACGGAAGGCCTGCTTAAAGAGTCATGTCTTCAATTGGCTCTTTAAAAACCCCAGCAAGGTTGCCAGGCGAATCTCTGATGGCAGACTGTTCCAAAGTCGAAGGGCCACGGCCGAGAAGGCCCGATTTCTTGTTCTTTTCGGACCTCTCTCGGCGTTAGGCCCCTCAACCGTCTTTCCTGGCTGTGATGAGTGACTCGAGTAATGTTAGCAATTTGGTCTCTAGTTCCTCTGCCCCTTTGAAATCCAGCTTGTACTTCTGGGAGTTCTCAGTCCACATACGTTTGAAGCCTACCTTGTAGGATTTTGAGCATATTGTGCGGTAGTTGGAGCATTTCTTGGCACTGCCCTTCTTTGGGATTGGGATGTAGACTGATCTGTTCCAATCCTCTGGCCACTGCTGAGTTTTCCAAACTTGCTGGCATATTGAGTGTAGCACCTTAACAGCATCATCTTTTAAGGTTTTAAATAGTTCCACTGGAATGCCATCACCTCCACTGGCCTTGTTGTTAGCCGTGCTTTCTAAGGCCCACTTGACTTCACTCTCCAGGATGGCTGGCTCAAGGTCAGCAACCACACTACTGTATCTGGTTTGTCCAGGACATCCAGATCTTTCTGATATAATTCCTCTGTGTATTCTTGCCACCTCTTCTTGATGTCTTCTGCTTCTGTGAGGTCCCTACCATTTTTGTCCTTTATCATATCCATCTTTTGCAAAAAATGTTCCTTTAGTATCTCCAATTTTCTTGATCTCTGGCTTTCCCCCTTTCTATTATTTTCCTCTATTTCTTTGCATTGTTCATTTAAGAAGGCCCTCTTGTCTCTCCTTGATATTCTTTGGAAGTTTACATTCAGTTTTCTGTAACTTTTCCTATCTCCCTTGCATTTTGTTTCCTTTCTCTTCTCTGCTATTTGTAAGGCCTCGTTGGACGGCCACTTTGCTTTCTCACATTTCCTTTTCTTTGAGATGTTTTTTTTTTGCTGCCTCCTGTACAATATTATGAGCCTCCATCCATAGTTCTTCAGGCTCTCTGTCCACCATACAAGGGTGCCTCACATTACGACATTAATTCGTTCCAGCGAAATCGCTGTAGAACAAAAACGTAATGCAAAAGGAAAAAACCCATTGAAATGCATTAAAATCCGTTTAATGCTTTTCAAAGGGCTTGAAGCTCACCGTCCAGCGAAGATCCTCCATAGGGCGGCCATTTTCGGTGCCTGTAATGCGAGGAATCCGTCCCAGAAAACAGCGGGGGGCCATTTTGTTTACCCGGTGGCCATTTTGAAACCGCTGATCAGCTGTTGGAAAATCATCGTTTTGCAAAGAATCAGTTCCCGAAGCAGGGAACCGATCATCGCAAAGCGAAATTCCCCCATAGGAAACATGTTTATTCTTGCCATCTCCTGTTTGACCACATCCAGCTCACCAAGGCTCATAGATCTTACATTCCAGGTTCCTATGCAGAATTTTTATTTGCATCATCGGACACACTATTCACGCTGCCACCAACCATTCCCTCATAAATCTCTTCAGACAAAAACATGATTTTTAAAATAAAAACATATTTTTTTTGTGAGAACAAAAGGAATGGTAAATCACTTTATCAATTAAAATAAAAGGCAATCTGAAATAATAAAGTATCCCCTCATACACACTCTCTCTCAGACCTTCGCTTTATATATATATATAACACAGTACTTCATAACATGTACAAGCCCTAACACCCTAAGTCCCTATCAGGTCCCTATCCAAACCCTATCCAAACCCTATCTGAACCCTATCTGACTCACACCTCATTCACTCCCCCCTTAAATACCATAGCTCCACCCTTTGAAGTCCCACCTCCCGTCCTGCTATAGGCAGATAAACTCTAGCTATAGCAGTGACGGGCAGATGACATCACCGCTACCGTCACAGGGCTCATCTCTCAGCATTATATATTTTAGTCTTTTGTTTCTGTCCATGGAGTTTTCTTGGCAAAGCTACTGGAGTGGCTTGCCAGTTCCTGCTCCAGGTGGATCGTGTGTAGTCAGAACTCTCCAGTATGACCTGTCCGTCTTGGGTGTTCCTGCACAGCATAGCCCATAGCTTTTCTGAATTATTCAAGCCCCTTCACCGTGAAGGGGGATGGCCTAGATCATCTGGAGAACTGGGAACAGATTCAAATGGAAATAATACTGGATGGTAGATAAGATAAAATCACAAAGCATGCCTAACAGCGCTTAACAGGAAAAGACAGTACAGTTTTCTCTTCTGTGAACAGCTAGTTACCTTTTTGGAACAGGTGATGGTACATCTAGTAGATGGAATGAGGAATTCAGAGCATTAAAAAAAATAATACTGCCCTGCTGATGCCTTTGTTATTATTATTTTCCTGCTCTTTGCAGGGTTAAGTCGTCTCAGATTTGCCATGTCTTTAGGGGAGCTTCACCTAGGAGACTTGTATCACTATAGGCCAGTGGTGGTGAACCTACGGCATGCGTGCCACAGCTGGCACGTGGAGCCCTTTCTGTCGGCACGAGCCATAAGTCACCGGATCGCTACTCCCCCCCCCCCAACAGCCAACCCGCAGCCACAGTGCTGGCGCTTCAGCAGACAGATCTGGATTAGCTGGCGCTGGCAGCAGATATGGAGTGGGGTCTCGAGGCACCTCCGTGTCCGGGATTCCCCCTTCCACCGCCACTTCCGGTTCTGCTTCCCGCTATTTGTT